AGTATTAATATTTCTTGTGCTTTGGTTCTGTTTTAACATTACTTTGTGGTACTTTATTGATTTTTGTAGTCTTTAACTATTTTCTGTAGTTTTCAAACACATCTGTACTATTTCAGCACGTGTTGTGTATAAACGTGTCTTTTTCTAGCGTGTTGTTTTAGCAGCTCTGTAGTGTTAGCATATCGCTTCCCTCTGAACTTCTGGAAACTTTGTTTGGTGCACAAATCAAACAGAAACAGCAGATCTGATTATCAAGAAGCTTTATTGTTGTTATCAGAGTGAGTATAATCATCATCGTCATCATCATCATCAGTCCTGTTGCTATGGGCCTGTGTGCTGGACTGCAGGAGGCTGTTAGCATGCAGCAGAGCCGAGCAGACAGACAGGTAGTCAGACAGACGGGGCAGAGAGGTAGACAGGTGGACAGGTAGTGAGGTAGGGGAACACACAGGTAGACGGACGAGAGGACAGACAGACAGACGGGTGGGGGGACAGGTAGCTATTGTGTTATTTACATACAGGTAGGCAGATGCATTAGAAAGCTTATTGGCTGTCTTCCAGAGGCTCCACCCCTCGCTCATCTGTGTCAGCCAATGCCCTGTGAGGAGGGGCGGGCTCCGCAGGCTGGGGGGAAGGGTGTGAGGAGGATGAGGAGGAAGAGGAGGAGGAGGATAGGGAGAGGGGGAGGTCTGGCGGTTGTTCAGTCTGTAGCCTCCCGTCCCCCTCCGCCTCACCTCCCGTCATTCCCTCCTCCACTTGCCCCCCGCTGGCCCCTCCTCCTCCACGGGACCCAGCAAACTGCAGGTGAGGCAGGAGGGTGGCTGGGGCCTCCTTCTCCCTCTCCCCTGCTGCCTCCCTCTCGCGCCGCTCAGCATACAGCGGGGCCTCCAGGCCGAGGTAGGATGCGCTGAGCTGCCGCAGGTCCAGCTCAAAGGGGCTTCCGCTGGACTGTGCCACCGACTCTGCCCCCTGACTCCCACCTCCTCCACCTGCTCCCCCTTTCTTACCCTTACGGGGATGGGAGGTTGCAGAGGCGGGGAGGCCCTCGGGGAGGAGAGACTGGATCTTTGGGAGCCAACGTTTGCGGACTCTGCGGGCGTTGGTGCACATGTCGGCTGCAATGACGTTCATCTCGCTCTCCTTAAAGTTAGGAGCAAAGTTCTGACAGTACACTGAGGAGGAGGAGGGGGGAGAATCTCAATACTTTTAAAATACAATAAAAGGCAGAAATCATGACTCACAGTGTGTGTGTGTCCATGTGTTCCTGTCTAGCTATCTTTGTGAGGACCGAAATCTGCATTCTACTATACTTGTGAGAACCAACAGTCAGAGAAACATCGACACACACACACCGGTCCTCACAGATTTAAAGGCATGTTTGAAGCTCAAACTGTGGTTTTAGTGTCAGGGTTACACTTAGGTTATGGTCAGGTTTAGGGTCAGAGTCAGGCGTTCATCTTTAATGGTTAGGGTAAGCATTATGTCAATGAAGGTCCTCACTCAGATAGCTGAACCGGCGTGAGTGTGTGTGTGTCTTACGTTTGACAGTGTTTAACACTCGGTTGTCCAGGGGCTTCCGGCTCGGATCATTGGTGGAGGAGCGGATCCCTGTCCCGCAGCTATTGGCCAGCGTGTTTCTATGGAAACCATAACAACCCAATCAGCACCTATACCAGCTGTAGGTTCCCCTCCCCCTCCCACTCCGAGACTGTGACTGAGCTGTTATGTAAAGCAGCTGCTGCCGACTGTCAGAAGCTTCTGGAAGATCTCATACAGCCGCGGGTCACATGGTGTCTGATGATGTCACAGCGTCTGGGTCGATAAGCGTTTTAGAGGCACATAAATATGACTGATTGATAAACGTGAGTTTCTGACCATCAGGTTTCACATCGACACACATCAGGACGAATCCAGACATTCATCCACGCGTGACACACGGGTCATCCATCAGTTCACGTGGTCATTAACGGTGTCGGCGTAAAAACGCCTTTCAAAGGCATTTGTATGTCAATGAAACATCAGCAGGTGCGCTCTAACGTTACTGTGGGCCTCGGGGCTCAGGGGGGGGGAGTTCTTAAACATCGAACATAATTACAGGTGAGTCCCAAAGGTTTGTCAAATGTCCCACCAGGGAGAGAACGCTCTAGATCATATTTACTCCAACATCAAGCATGCATATAGAGCCATGCCCCTCCCCCACCTCGGCCAGTCGGACCACCTCTCCCTCCTGCTCTCCCCAGCCTACGCCCCCCCCAGACGCAGTGCCAGGCCCACCACAGGGACGGTTCCAACCTGGAAATGCTCTCTCCAAACCACAGGACTGCTCCACACAGACAGACTGGGACATATTTGGACACCAGGACCTGGAAACGTTCACAGCATCAGTGCTGGACCATATCGAGTTCTG